GTCTATCTTTGATAAATCCTACAATTAATTTATGTAATATTTGTTTCTTTATTTCTCTAGGTAAATTCCTAGTTATATATAATGTTATTATTTTTAATTTATTAGGGATGGGGTTGTAAAATATATAACATCCTTTTTCTTCAATACAGTGATAATAATTATTTATTTTTAAGATTTTCATGATCTCTATGGCTCTGATACCAAAGGACGGGTGCTACTATGAGCGAACAAAAATCTAATAATCATGAATCTAAAAATCTAAAATTTTAATACTCCAAAAATTCTTTTATTTTTACTATTAGGTGTATATAAAATCTTAAGATAAAGACTAATTTTTTGTATGCTTGTGGTAATTTATTTTTTATTAGTCTTCTCATAAATTTTTAAGTAATTCATCAAAGTCTAGTAACGTCTGAGAATTTATAATATCAATATTTGTTATCATATCTATGTCTGTTCTAAAAGGTATATCATATTTTGAGATATTTTTCTTTCTTTTTTCCAATTTATCTATTATATCTTGTATATCTTTTATGATTATTGATCTTACAATTCTTTTAGCAAAATTTTCTAATAAGTTTTCTTTAAAACATTTTAATATTTCTTGTGATGCATATAATTGTTCTTGATATCCTATCTTATCAATTTCTTTTTCAAACTTAATTTCTTTTTTATTTTTAACAACCTTTTTTATATTATATGGTCCTCTCTTATATTTGAGTTTTTCTATTTTATAATTATTCATTAATAATTCTCACAAATTTTTAGAAAAATTACTTGTTAGATTTTTTAAGGACTTAAATAGAAGATTTTTATTAGATAAAGGATTTTTTTTAATATTTGTTAAAGGGTGTTTTAGGTAGTTCAAAATGTTTATAAAAGTCAAAGGTTATTTTGAAAAATCCTTCTTTTATTTGGGTCAATTTCATGTATTTCCCTGTTATCTAACAGGCTAACGCCAATAGAGTTAAAGCACCAATCTAAAAAGCAACATTTGGCCCTTGTTTGTGCCCCATTTTTCAGGGAAAAATGAATTTTTGAACAACGTATTGATGGAAAATGTGTGGTTAAAAAATAAGGAAGAATTTTAAATTTACGTGTAATATTATTTTATTGAAGAATGTGATTGAAATGATGTCAAAATACTGTTAAAAATACATTTTTTTTAAAAGAATGGGGCTCAAACAAGGGCTTGATAAGTTCAATTAAATAAATAATGTGACGTTGCATTTAAGAGAATTTATCATTTGATGTTATATAGTTGTAAATTAAACTCGTGTTTGACATCAACGATGATAAATAATATTACTTAGTGGAGAGGTCTCTGAACTTCCTGTATATTAATCGAAATCAAATCCATAAAAAAGTTGCGTTGTATGTTAAGTCTCGATTGTTTACACGAATTTATTTATTTATTTATTTTTTTGTGACGGAGAACCCGCGACCACTACCTTTTGGATGTGCACTGCGTAAATTCTTGACACAAACTTAATTTTCATATTATTTGTGGGACATGGGTACCATGACAGAGATGATCATGGAAATAATCATTTCTTACACAAAATTTAAGTGCAATTCAAAGAGAATAAAAAAGTTCTCCAAGTCCTTCGAATTCCGAGTGTCTCTGAGAAATTAAAGTATAGGACAGCAAAATCGGCATGTTATTTTGCTCAAGTTAACTTGAAGTGTCGAAAACTCATAATTCTATTACTTGACATTCACGTAAAGATGGCATAGTTCTCTCTCTCACCGTTATTATTATTTTTTTTTTTTCATATATAAAAAATAAAAATAAAATCCATTCTTTCTTTCTTAAATGATTAAAAGGAAAAATTGTGATTCTTTCCTAAAAAGGATAGGACGTGTTTTGAGTTACTGAGTGTTCAACCCGACAACATCGGTGAGCGTTCAAATATTCTCAAAGCAACCATGATACCAGTTTTACTATAAGTACAGAAAAAATTGACAGAATTTTTACAGAGAAACACTTAATAGATTTTCATTGATTTTTAACACAACACGAAAATTGCACCATATAGATGCTACCAACACAACACAACACCTGTATCATTTTTTTCAATAATTCCATGTGCCTATGTAATTATTCATCATGATACACATATAGGCTCAAATCTAAACGCAAATATAGATGGGGCACATGTCGACGCGTAATTGGACAGTTTGAAAAATTAAAATATTTTCTGATATATCATTCCATTTCTTTACTTCCCTGTTTTTAACTATGGACAAGTGACTTTACTCTTCTCAAAGATATGGTCGAGAAGTGTTTTCTAATTTACTCTAGTGATATCTCAACGGGAAGAAAATAATTTTCCCTCAATATATTTAGGGTTAAATCTTTTTCAGGCAGACTTTACTACACTTATTGCAAGAATATTGAGTCGAGAGTTTGGTCCGACCCGACATGTAATTGACGGGTGGACAGCAATTGGATTAATTGCTATTATGTTGTGTCCGGAGTTTGGTCATCAAAATGCTGTTCTCTCTGAAGAAACTATTCACTACAAACCCAAAATCTATTTTCTTCAAACTCCATCACTTAACATTTTACTCTTCATTGCCATCATCATCCACAAACTTTGACACACAGTTATATCACTCCAATCTCATTAAAAATGGTTTTGCACAAATGCTGAATGTTAACAACTACTTGTTGAATCTTTACTTGAAAGATCATGACTTTAAGGATGCCCGGAAGCTGTTTGATGAAATTCCTGATAGAGATGTTAGGACTTGGACTATTCTAATTGCGGGCTTTGCTCGATATGGTCGTCACGGGATTGCATTGGATTACTTTACTGATATGCGAAATGAAGGAATTGTGGCTCCCAATGCGTTCACTTTATCGAGTGTTTTCAAGTGCTGTGCTTGTGTCAATAATGGGCTTCAAATGGGGAAGGCAACTCATGGGTGGATAATGATAAATGGGATTGATATGGATGTTGCTTTACAGAATTCTATTCTTGATCTTTATGCAAAATGTGGGGTTTTTGACTATGTGAATAGATTGTTCAAATTGATGGATGACAAAGATTCTACTTCTTGGAATATAATGATGGCCGCTAAATTGAGTGAAGGTGATATGAGGAAATGTCTCGAGTTTTTTAGGAGTTTGCCTATCAAGAGTGTTTCGAGTTGGAATACTATCATTGATGGACTTATGCAGTATGGGCTTGAGAGAAACGCCTTGGAGCTTCTCTATGAGATGGTGAAAATAGGACCAGCCTTTGACAAAGTTACATTTTCTATATCCTTGGTGTTGGCATCTATGCTTAAGAGTTTGGAACTAGGTAGGCAAATTCATGGCCGACTGTTGAGGGTTGGGATGAATGAAGATTCATTTGCAATCACTGCACTTATTGATATGTACTGCAAATGTTGGAAAATGGACAAGGCTTCCACAATTTTTCAAGAATTTCGACGAATAGGTTACAAGGGTTCTCATGATGATTTAATGGCACAAACTGTTTCTTGGAGTACAATGATTGCTGGTTATGTTCAAAATGGTATGATGAAAGATGCCCTAGACCGTTTTAGCTTCATGGTTCATGAAAAAGTTGAGGTAGATGTGTATACTCTTACCAGCATTCTGACTGCATCTGCTGATGTTGCATTTTTGGAGCTTGGCAAGCAGATTCATGCTCGTATAGTGAAATTAGGTCAAGATGTAGATGTTTGCTTGTGCTCGTCAATAATTGACATGTATGCAAAATGTGGAAAGTTAAATGAGGCGTGGTTATTTTTCCAACAAACTCAAACTCGAAATGTTGTGTTATGGAGCGTGATGATAGCCAGTTACGCCGTGCATGGGAAGGGAGAAGAAGCTATTGAGCTCTTTGAATTGATGCAAAATGAGGGTGTTATGCCAAATGGAGTTAGTTTTGTTGCGCTTCTTACTGCGTGTAATCATGCGGGTTTGATAAAAGAAGGTTGCGAGTATTTTAGGATGATGATAGAAGTTTATGGTATCCGGCCTGAAGTTGAGCACGTTTCTTGTATGGTGGATCTTTTTGGCCGTGCTGGTCACTTAAAAGAGAGCGAGAATTTTATTTATAAGAGCGGCATCTCTAATTTGAGGGAAGTTTGGAAAGCATTTTTATCTTCTTGCTGGCTTCATAAGAATATTGAGCTGGCTAATTCGATTTCCAAGAAGTTACTTGAACTGGAGCCCCATGAAACTGATTCTTATGTTCTGTTATCGAATACTTACTCAGCAATTGACAATTGGGCTGAGGCAGCTCAATTAAGGCGTTTGATGCATGAAAGGAAAGTCAAGAAATTACCTGGTCAATCTTGGATCTAATCATAGAATGGATACCTATCCAGTATCCACACTCATTAGAAACTCGCCTATAAGGCTATGCCATTCTAAGTTGCTGCTAAATGGATGGACCTTATCAACGTCCATCAACCACTTGAAGAAACAATTTATTAGATTGTGTCCTTGGACATAAAAGTCTGGGCAGATGAACATAACCGGCATTTGAAACTCGAAAGTTTCAGATCAGATATGCAACAGTCCAAATCCTGGTTCCAGCAAGTCAGAAACAACATTATGGTATATTAAATTCACAGCCTAAACTCTGTGTCTGCCGGAAGACGACATTGGAGACCTCATGGTTTTATATGTCCTAACTCACGGGTAGGGAGGATTTTCTTGAAACAAACATGAAGCTTTTTGGATATTAGGAACTCAGGTATGTTCCTGTGATGAATATTGGTTCAGCTTTTACTGAATAATGTTATGACTAGGATTGTGACAAAAGTCAAACCTAGGGGTGCTAAAATGCTCTGATTGGTGATGTGCAACACAGGCAATAGGTTGATAACTTTCTCTGCTAGTTTCGTGGAGCAAGTTAGAACAAAGCTGCCTAAGGTTCCTTTTGGTCCCTAACTGCTATTGACTTTCTGTCTCAGTAATTAGAGCATCTGTCGTTACCGGGTTATATATTTGAATGGTGCAAATCATTGATCCAACCTAAGCTATAGGTATGTGGATGTAAATTTCCGTTTTCAATTTACTTTGATGTCTTCAAGTAAATGAAGATTAACCTGAATATTGGAATTACAAGAAGCAGAATGTCTCCTGATTCTCTAGCATGACCAAAACATTAGGACACAAAATGAGGGAAAAGATGGCAGAAATGCACCTTGCGATAGAAACATATACGAAAGCAAGAACATAAATACACCTAGTTGTTAATTGCTATTTCCTAGAAACTTTCGTTATTGGATTACTCATACATTTCTCTTTGGCCCTCGTATAGCCTCTAGATGTTCATGCACGTAGCCGCGATCCTTACTCGAAGTGATTGCTTAGAGTATATTCAACTGTCAATTCTAACTCCCTCTTCTAATTCTTATATGATAAGTCATCATTACTTAAACATGAATACTAGTGTTCATTACATCATTCTTGTATATAAGAAAATGAGAAACTTGATGAATATACAGAATAAAAATTGAATGATAGAGAGACCATCTTTTAGATATCCAACAAAACACTCAAAAAACCTCAAGGCTGATCGAACATCTGATGCGCAAATGATTTCATGGCAAGTTCAAATGAAACTTCTGAAAAATTTCAATTGTTCCCAGATATGAATTTCTTGACATCACCAAGAAAACTGGAATTGCGCGGTCTATCTTCCCTCCTCACATATCTTCTCCCATCATCCATACTGTACTCACTCAACCCCACCTTCCCACACCTCTTCCAAATTGCCTCCCCGAATTCCCTGTGCGCGAAATAGGCCTCCGCCGTCGCCACCTTCTTATCTCCGCCGTCCTCGTTCACTACCTCCACAGGCAGCCTCTCGTAATGTCCACGGTCAATTCCCTCCAGCTCGTCCAGCAAGGCGATGCCCCGGTCTGACAACACAGAGTAGAGCTCGCCTCGGACCCAGTGTCCTGACCCTGGAAGGTTGATAAGGAAGGGGATCCCATGTGGCCCTACGACGAGAGGGAAGGACTCCACGGTGGTGTAATTGCCCATAAAAACGGCGTCGCGCGTGCTCATCAGTTCCTCCATTAACTTGTGGTTGTAGAAGCCGCGCTTCAATGTGCCATAAGTGAAGATGAGGCTGACGTAATCTCCACTTCTGCTGGCCATGTAATTACCAAATGTTAGTGGAGACTGGCGGCGTGTGTTGGGGAACTTTGGCGTTGGTGGTGGCAGTGTGTGCGGTGGAAAGTGGCAGGCTGCTTTCATTTATCTGCTTAAGGGGGAGTGGATTCGGGACGACCAAAAAACCATTTCAATTTGATACCTGTGGGTCCCGTCTAATTGGGTACACGGGATGCGTACGGGGCGAGAGTCGTTGCCCCGAAGCAAGTAGGGATGGGTACGAGAAACATAGTTCTCATCCCATTACCTTTTCTGTTTAATATTAATTTTAAATTTAAGTTTTTTATCAAACAAAAATAATAAATTTATCATCATTTTTAAAGAGAACTAAGTTGTTTTTAACAAATTGGTAAAAAGATAATACTATTTACTAGATAAGGACATAAAAAATAAAAGCAAAAAATAAAAAAATAAAAAGAAAAAAATAAATGGGGCAGGAGACTTGCCCTGCTGCAACCTGATTCCGTCCAAATCCACTTCATCCGATTTTAACCAAGTATGAGTATGTGGTAAGATAACAAAAATAATGGACGAGACTGGGGTGGGAATGGTCGACCCCTCTCAAACCTGCCTCGTTGCCATCCCTAGGGTGGATTTGTTCTCTCTGTCTCTCTCTCTCTCTCTTATTTGTGAATGTCCGTTATATTCTTATAGTCTTCGTTATTATGATTATTGTATATTTTGTAACCTAATTGTTCTATATTAGACTTTAATTCTTGATAAAATAAACACAAGTATGTTGATTTCTTTATATTTCTTCTCTTATTTTCTCTATTTTATAGTACGTTATCAATGCAAAATTCTAACCAATTAAGTTAGTAAAATTTATTTTTCCTCTTGCTTACAAATCTCTATCCAATTGAGATAGAAAAAAATACCTTAAATCAAAGAAATACAAAAAGTTCACACCAAATTAATTAACAAAGAGACTATTTTATTTTTTTTCCCCCATTTTTTTATTCTTTCAAAGTAAAAGTCGGTATACTTTTTAACTTTAAATTGAATAACAAAGTGGTATAATTATTCGATCTAGTTATTTTGAATTGACTATATCAATTTATAATAAATAAATAAATAATTTGCTTGAATGTAACTATTTTGTAAAATATTAAGAACGATATTATTATTCTTAAAAAAAAATCAAAATCAAAATTTCAAAAAATATTGTAGCATTACTTGAAAAGAAATTTTATATTTATATTTATTTTGTTGGTCTTGAATACGTATAAGTTCACACATAACATTATTTTAAAATAATATTGTATTGTTACTCTTGAAAATGTATAAAATTTGTACATATCATATTGTAGATGAATTTCATATCAATTTTCTGGTTATATGACTCTTAACAATATCCTGGAGAAATATTGTGTGAATACTTCTGAAAAACATATATGAACATTATAAATCTTAGATTCAAAAGAATATTTTATAGTTGCTTTCTAAATAAAAGACTAAGGGGGTGTTTGAGCCACATTATTTTGGTAATAATGCATTCTTGAATAGTGTATTGAGGGAAAATGTGTGATTAAAAAATAAGGAAAAGTTTTTGATTTGCGTGTAATAATATTTTATTGAAAAATGTGTGGTTGAAATAATGTCAAATCACTATTTAAGAATGCATTTTTTGAAATAATGTGGCTCAAACAGATCCTAAATTTATATAAATTGTTATAAAAGTGAAGAAAAGAAAAGAGAATAGAAAGAAGTCAATAGACTTGTGTATATTTTATTAAGGACCAAAGCTCTATATTTATAGGGCAGAATTAGAGATACAACAGTAATAATATCTAGGACTGCAGGGGTATAATTGTCATTCATCTCTAAACTTTAATAAACTTTCCTTTTATAACATTCCCTCCCGAATGACACATTACAAAATATTTACCTCGTTAAAACCTTGTTTAATAAAAATTCAATGGGAAAAAAATCAAAAAGAAGGAAAAGAGTACAGTTATTTTGGAGTACTAAAAATAAACGATGCATCATTAAAACTTTGTTAGGAAAATCCAGTGGGACAAAAAACCTAAACGAATGGAAAAAAAAAGTACAGCTATACCCCCTGATGTTAATCACTGAAAATCTTTGAGTCGACGCATTCTAATCTCATAAACTAATTTCTTGAATGTAGATGTTGGCAATGCTTTTGTGAATATATCAGCCACATTGTCGCTTGAGCGAACTTGTTGGATATTGATGTCGTCATTCTTTTGAAGTTCATGTGTATGAAAGAATTTTGGAAAAAATTGCTTCGTCTTGTCACATTTGATATAGCATCTTCTGAGTTGTGCAATACAAGTTGCATTGTTTTCATACAAAATTGTTGGACTATCATTTGTTGAAGTTAATCCATATGATGCTTGGATATGATGGGTCATTTTTTCAACCACACACATTCTCACCCTGTTTCGTGGATGACAATAATTTAAAAATGATTTGAAAATGTAGCTGTCAATGATTGCTTCACAGGTCTCCATGATATAGCTGTTCCTCCACATGTAAATAGATAACATGTTTGTGATTTAGCTTTATGTGGGTCAGATAGATAACCTACATATGCATATCCCACTAAAGCAGATCCCGACTTTTGAGAATAAAGTAATCTCAAATCAATGGCATCCTTTAAGTAACGAAAAATATGTTTAACACCATTACAATGTCTTTGAGTTGGTGTAGAGCTATATCTTGCAAGGAGATTTATTGAAAAAGCTATGTCGGGTCGAGTACAATTTGCAAGATAAGTTAATGCTCCAATTGCACTAAGATATGGTACTTCAGGATCAAGAACCTTTTCTCCATCTTCAAGTAGATGAAATGGATTTTTTTTTCACAAGTGATCGAACAATTATATGTGATGTCAATGGATATACATTATCCATGTAAAAACGTTTTAAAGCTTTTTCTTTATATGTGAATTGGTGAACAAATAATCCATCTGCAAAATGTTTAATCTGCAATCCGAGACAAAATTTGGGTTTTCCCAAATTCTTTATCTCAAATTCATTTTTCAAACAATCACCAGTTTTGTTGAGCTCTTTAGGAGTTCCAATTAAATTTAAATCATTAACATAAACTGCCACAATTGTAAATCCAGTATTTGTTTTCTTTATAAAAACACATATGGGCAGACATTGTCATTTTTATAACCCTTATTCAACAAATATTTGCCAAGGTGATTATACCACATGCATCCGAATTGTTTAATCCATATAATGATCTTTGCAATTTAATTAAGAACTTGGTTCTCAGGCATGTATCGTTTGTTTCTGGTACTTTAAGTCCTTCAGAGACTTTTATATATATGTCACTATTAAGTGAGTCATACAAATATGCAATTACTACGTCCATACAGTGCATATCAAGCCCTTGTGACACAGTCAAACTGATTAAAAATCTAAAAGTGGTGGTGTCCATTACGAGAGAATATGTTTCTTTATAATCAATTCCTGGTCTTTGTGAGAAACTTTGAGCTACTAGTTAGGCTTTGTACTTTGTAATTTCATTATTTTCATTCATCTTTTGTACAAAAACTCATTTGTATCCAATAGAGATTACATTTTCAAGTGCTCAAACGATAGGTCCAAACACTTTTCGTTTCTCCAAAGAATTCAATTCCACTTATATGGCTTCTTTCCATTTTGGTCAATCATTTCTATTTTGACAGTCTTTAGCTGACTGTGGTTCAAAATCCTCATTTTGCATAATATCAAGAGCCACATAAAGGCGAAAATATTGTCTATAAAAATATTATTTCGTTCCCATAATTTATGAGATAACGTATAATTTATTGAAATCTCATTATTTTGGGACACTTGTGGTTCTTCAGGAACCATATTTTCAATATCTGATTGATCAATCTTTTCTAATGTGACTTTTTTCGAAGTTTTTGGTTGGTTTTTCTCATGTACTTTTCTTTTTCGAGGTACAGAGTCTTTTGAACCAACTGATCGACCACGCTTTTGGCGAATTTGAGATTTATTTGCTATAGTAAATTGTCCCATAGGGACATCATTTTTTGTTGAAATATTTTCTGTTGGAACATATGATTTTGTAACTTTTTCTTGTGTTAACAAATATATCAGGTAATTGATTTGTAACTCTTTGCAAATGAATGATTTTTTCAACATCTTGTTCACATTGATTGCTGCAGGGATCAAAATGAGATAGAGTCGCTTCATTCTAAGTAATTTTACTTTGTTTTCCAAGATGTAGTTTTTTTTCTCCGAAAGTAGAGAAAGTCATCTTATCAAAATAACAATTTACAAAACATTCAGTAAATAAGTCCCCGTTAAATGCTCAAGATACATAATAATTCATGGTGAATCAAAACCTACATAAATCTCAAGTTTTCGTTGAGGATCCATTTTAGTACGTTGTGGGGATGAAATGGGGATTCGGACAGCACAACCAAAGACTCGTAGGTAAGAACTATCAGGTTCGTAACCAAATATCAGTTGCAAAGGTGAATATTGATAATAGGCAGTTGGTCTAATATGAACCAATGATGCAGCATATAATATGGCATGACTCCAAACAGAAGCTAGGAGTTTTGTTTTCATAAGTAATGATGTAGTAATAAGTTGTATACGTTTAATAAACGACCCTGTCAAACCATTTTTTGTATTAACATGCGTATTTAATGTTCAATTATAATCTCGATTGACATATAATAATCATCGAATGCTTGTAAACTAAATTCTCCAGCATTGTCAATGCGAATAGTTTTAATTGAGTAATCAAGAAATTGTGCTCATAATTTTATAATTTGAGCAAGTAGTCTAGCAAATGCTACATTTCTAGTGGAAAGTAGGCAAACATGTGACTATTTAGTAGAAGAATCAATTAATACAATAAAATAAAGAAATTGTCCATATGGTGAGTGTATTGGCCCACATGTCTCCACGAATTCTTTCCAAGAAAATTGGAGATTCAATATTGAACTTTGTAGTTGAAGGTCTAATGAGTAACTTACCTTGCGAGCAAACTACACATGGATAATCATTAGGTAAAAGAATCTTCTGACTCTTTAAATGATGTCCACGTGAATTGTTTATTATTCGACGTATCATTATAACTCCTGTATG